ATGATATTGTCTTTGTGTTTGTCATATATGCCTTGATTGTGTTGAGGAATATTCCTTCTATACCCAATTTGCTTGAAGTTTTTAACATTAAAGGATCTTGTAATTTATCAAATGCTTTCTATATATCTAATGATATAGTTTTTATTCTTCAGTTTGTTAATGTGATATATCACATTTATTGGTCTGCATATGTTGAAGAATCATCCCAGCATACCAAGGATAAATCTCACATGGTCCAGGTGAAGGATATTTCTGATGTGTTGTTGGATTCAATTAGCTAGTATTTTGTTATGGATTTTTGCATTTATTTCATCAGGGAAATTGGTCTATTGTTCTCTCTCTTTATTGTATCTTTTCCTGGTTTTAGAATTAAGGTGATGCTGGCCTTACAGTAGAAGTTTGGAAGGATTCTGTCCCTTTCAATTCTTTTGAATAGTTTAAGAAGAATTGGAATTAGTTCTCCTTTAAAAGTTTGGTAGAATTCATTAGTAAGCCATTTGGTCCTGAGATTTTCTTGGTTGCGAGGGTCTTTTTTTTTTATTAATTCAATCTCTATCTTAGTTATTGGTATTTAGGTTTTCTGTAGTTTCATGAATTTTGTTGTGTTGTATGGGTCCATTTCTTCTAGATTTTCTCATTTGTTGGCACATAGCTGTTTGTAGTAATTCCTCATTATTCTTTTTACTTCTGTGGTATCTCTTGTTACATCTACTTTTTCATCACTGATTTTATTGATTTGAATTTCTCTCTCATTTTTTGGTTAGTTGTGCAATGGTGTTTCAATTTTGTTTATTTTATGTAGCCCCATGGAACAGAATAGAAACCCCCGAGATTAAGCCACACATCAAAAATGAACTAATCTTTGACAAACAAGCTGAAATCAATCTTTGGAGAAATGATAAGCTTATCAATAAATGGTACTAGGAAAATGGCTCTACACATGCAGGATTATGCAACATCATCACTACATTACCTTATACAAAAATCAACTCTAAAAAGATCAAAGATATAAATCTGTGACTTGATACCATCAAATTACTAGAGGAAAACATCAGAGAAACTCTGCAAGATATAGGCACAGGTAAAGACTTCTTGGAAAAGACACTAGAAGCACATTAAATTATGATAAAAATACATAAATGGTATTACATAAAGCTATGAAGTTTTTGCACTGCATAGGAAATAGTCAACAAAGTGAAGAGACAAGCAACAGAATGGGAGAAAATATTCTCAAACTCTGCAACTTGATGAAGGATTAATATCCAGCATCTATAAACAGCTCAAGAAACTCAACAACAACAAAACAAATAATCCAATTAAGAAATGGGCAAATAACATGAACACACAATTTTCAAAAGATGAAATACAAATGGCCAATGAACACATGAAAAAATGCTCAAGATCACTAGCCATCAGGGAAATGCAAATAAAAACCACAATGAGGTATTACTTCACCCCAGTAAGGATGGCTATCATCTAAAAATCAAAAAACAATCAATGCTGGCAAGGATGTGCGGAGAAAGATACTCTAATGTACTGTTAGTGGAAATGTAAACTAGTACAACCATAATAGAAGACAGTATGGAGACTCCTAGGAGATCTGAAAAAAGATTTACCATATGACCTAGTCATCCTACCCCTGGGAATTTACCCAAATGAAATGAAATCGGCATATGAAAGAGTTATCTGTACCCCCAAATTTACTGCAGCTCAATTCACATAAGCTAAGATATGAAATCAGCCCAGAGGTCCATCAACTGATGACTGAATAAAGAAAGTGTGGTATGTATACACTATGGAATACTACTGTGCCATAAAAAGAATAAAGTCCTGTCTTGTGATGAAATGGGTGTAACTGGAAAACATTATGCTTAGTGAAACAAGCCAGTATCAAAAAGGCAAATATGATATGTTTTCCTAATATGTGGTACTTAATATAGAATACCAAAAATGTATAACAATGAAAAGGTCATTTTGGTATATGATTGTCTTTTTTAGCCCTTGTTTATACTCCTGTGGAACTGTGATCTTCCTACTTTTTACTTATTTAATATTATGGTTAGTGGCAAATTAAGCCTGTGAATATAGAGTGCATTAAAATTATGTCTTTGCAAAAAACAATGAAGAGACGGAGGGAGGAATAGGGGGATGTTGAAGGGAGAAGAGGAATGAGGAATGTCTGGTTGTCTTTTCTGGAACTGTACCTATGGAATACATAAACGTGCTCTCTGTTATTTTTAATAGATTTGTTTATTTATTTGAGAGGCAGAGTTGTAGACAGAGAGAGTTAGAGACAGAGAGAGGTCTTCCAACTGCTGGTTCACTTCTCCAATGCAGCTGGGCCTGTCTGAAGCCAGGAGCCAGGAGCTTCTTCTGGGTTCCCACATGGCTGCAGGGGCCCAAGGACTTGGGCTATCCTCTTTCCCAGGAGCATTAACAGGAAGCTGGATCAGAAGTGGACCAGCTTGGACATGAACTGGCATGCATATGGGATGCCAGCACCACAGGCGGAGGATTAACCTACTATGCCACAGCACCAGGCTCATTCTTTTTATATTAATAAAGAAATTTTAAAAAAGAAAAATATTACTAGTTCTCCACAATGTTGTTTTTGTAGGAGAAAGCAAAGAGCAGAAAGAATTGTTTGATCTGAATTCTAAGTAGGCATCTCCCCTCTATTTTCCAGACCATTTTATTAAAAGCAAAGTTTTTTTCCAAGTAAGTTCTCTGGAGTCTTATACCATAAGTTAGGTTCAACTCAGACCAGTTATAGACTGAATGAAAGGTACATTCATTTCAATGTCTTCCATTTATTGGGAAAAATTAATCATTCAGGTAGAATATGTTGGAATGATCAGAAACTGTGTATGTCTTATTTTTAGAAGGCTAACAGGATGATTTCTCTAATGATAAGCTGCCCTCCTCCCAGCACTTTCTGCCAGCTAATTTGCTATTGGAATAATGAGATCTTTTTAAGATCAATGTGAATTATGTTGTCCCTGGGGACCATCAGCTTTCTTTGGAGCTGATGCTCATTCCATCAGCCATTTTTATTTCAAAGACATTTGGAGTAACAACTGATGATTTGGAAAGGACAACTTTTTTTTCTGTTTGCCTCCAAAATCTTTTCTTTATAAAGGAAAAAAATATATGCACAGTTCTGAGGGAAGAAGTTTTCTAAATTAGTTTTGGGGCAATGAATGCTTATCCCAGGATGCGATACACTCTATTTCGGTGGAATAACATCATTTAAGAGTTAGTTGATTGAATCTTAGTCCTAACCATAGCATTCAATAGACCTCAGTTTTTCATCTGTAATGGGGGAATGGTAATGACCACATAAGACTTATGAATGCATAGTGCGGCCGGCGCCGCGGCTCAATAGGCTAATCCTCTGCCTTGCGGCGCCGGCACCCCGGGTTCTAGTCCTGGTCGGGGTGCCGGATTCTGTCCCGGTTGCCCCTCTTCCAGGCCAGCTCTCTGCTGTGGCCCGGGAGTGCAGTGGAGGATGGCCCAAATGCTTGGGCCCTGCACGCCATGGGAGACCAGGAGAAGCACCTGGCTCCTGCCTTCAGATCAGCGCAGTGCGCCGGCTGCAGCACGCTGGCCACGGTGGCCATTGGAGGGTGAACCAACGGAAAAAAGGAAGACCTTTCTCTCTGTCTCTCTCTCTCTCACTGTCCACTCTGCCTGTTAAAAAAATAAAAAATAAATGAATGCATAGTGCAAAATAGAGATGTTTTATGTCTTATCTTCTAGGATGCATTTATTCTTTGCTAGGAATAATATCTGAAATTTCCTTTGGGAACAAGCTGCTTCCCTATGTGGCACAGAGCATATAGCACAGACCTTACCAATCAGACATTAAATCTTGATACTTATAAAAATACAAATAACCAAAGCAATTGACTCAGGAATGCACGCATTATCCAAATTGGAAAAATAAGTGTGAATTATGTGGGAGCTACTCTATGTGGAGTGAGTTACTATCTGATATCCTAAACTTAAACCTGGCAGGATATGAGCCAGAGGCTACAGGTTCCAAATAGTGCAGCTTAGGAATGAAGTCATATAGAAAAAGAGATTTATTTCTTCCTTTTATTTCATTTTCTTGTCTTATCACATTATCCAGAACTTCCAGCAAAATGTTGAAAGGGAATGGTAACAGGAGATATTCTTGTCTTATTCCTGATTATAGTAGGAAAGCTATGAGTTTCTCATTGATAAATGTGATGTTCTATTAACTGTAGGTGTTTTGCAGGCATTCTTTGTAAAAACTGAGGAGGTTTCCCTCTTTTAGTTTATTGAGTTTTTTTTTTTTGGTCAGGAATGGTATTGGATTTGGGCAGGTGCTTTTTCTGCACTATTGATATGATCATGTGATTTTTCTGCTTAGCATATGGATGTGATGGATTACATTATTTTATTTTCAAATGTTGAACCAGCCTTGCATGTTTAGTACAAACCATATTGGTTTTGGCAAATAATTATTTTTATACATTGTTGGATTTGATTTGTTTATACTTTATTGAGTATTTTTGCATCTATGTTCATGAGAGATATTGGAGTGCAATTTTCTTTTAATATCTTTGTTTGTTTTTTTTTAAACCAGGATAATTCTGATCTCATAAATGAGTTTGATGCATTCTTTCTTCTGGAATATAATTAAGAATTACTGTAGTTTCTGGCTTAAATGTTTGATATAATTCATAAGTGAACCCATCTGACCCTGTTTTTTTCCATTATGGAAAGTTATTTTCCAAACTGGATAGCTTAAGGAAGTATAGAAAGACTCCACAAATCTAAACTTATACTTTAGAATGCATACCTGAATTACAGGAACATGGGAATCGACTTTGAAACATTTTTGCCTCAATCCATATGGTAAAAGTTATTATTTACTGATTCAATTTCTTTAATAGATAGCAGCCTGTTCAGATTGTCTCTTCTTGTGTGAGTTTTGTCAGGGATTGGTTCATTTTGTCCAAGTTATCAAATTTGTGGCAATAGAATTGTTTATAATATTTCTTTTTAAATATTTTTAAATAAACTTGTTTTTTTAACTTCATTTTTGCACACACTTTTTTAAAATTTGTTTTTTATTTGAAAAGCAGAGTTAGTGTAAGTCAATGACATGGGGCTAAAAAAGGTGGGATGTGGATGAAGTGCTTAAAATTAAGATTTATAAGTATTGTTACAATCTGGTGCAGCTTTGGGAATCAACTGAGGTTATAATTTGGGCAAATATACTATAAAAAGTATTTGGAGTTGGTGTTTGACATTATGGTTTTGGCACTGCTTCCCATACTGGAGTGCATAGTTCAAGTCTCCACCCTTTGGATTCTATTTAGCCTCTTGCTAATGTGCACCCTGGGAGGTGATGGTTCAAGAACCCCAGTAATTGCCATCCTAGTTGGAGATCAGGATAGAGTTCCAGGCTCTTGGCTTCCGCTTAGCCCCACCCACCTGGCCCCACACTGGCTGTTATGGGCAATTGTGGAGAAGGTAGGGGAAGCAGATCTCTGTTTCTGTCTTTCTGCCTTTCAAATAAAACGAAAATAAATACATGTTTGTTTATTTATATAATTGTGAGATAATTAGGGGCATTTGAGTATGAATCCAGTTAAATTATGCCAATGTTTCTGGTTACCTATAAAAATGAATTGTGAGTAGACAAGAACATACACATATGCAGAGATGAGGAGGTGACATGAAATGAGAGGTTTGCTTTAAAATCATTCACTTAAATAAAATATAGTAAAAGTTGCAATATATGGACAACTGTGCGTTGATGTGTATATGGTAATTTAATATTATTCTCTTTCATGGGTATATGTTTTCACATTAAAATTTGAAAAATAGCTCAATCATGTAGCTATTCAAAAAATGCCAATTCTCTGCTGGCTATAAAACAAAACTTAAATTCTTGAGCTTGCCATAAAATTCCTTTATAAACTGACCCTAAAGCAGTCTTTCACCTGCTTCTGCATTCCCCACGATTCTGCCTTGCATGACTCTCTTTTTCCTAAACCCAGCGTGCCCTTTGGTGACTCCAAGTTTTTGTGCATGCTGGTCCTCCTGTCTGGGATTTCCTTGGTCTCCTTCTCACATGACAAACATTCATCTCTAAAGGCTCAGCACAAAATATTTTCCACTGAAACAAGGAGCTTGGTCAGAATTAGTCATTCTCTCCATTTCCTCTTTAACCATGTGTCTTCTTCAGGCCTCACTACATTCCATTGTAATTAGCAAGTCAGTGTCTCGATATCTCTACATTCCTGGTACCACCACAGTGTCCAGCAAACAAGGGGTGCCTGATAATTGTGCATCAAGTGAACGCCTGCGAAGTCCATCCTTTCTTTGTGAATGTCCTCCTTATGACTTAAAGAGAGCAAATGCAGATACCGCATGTTTCTGTTTTGCAGTGTTTTTCTCCTATCTTGTAAATCTTTTGACAAATTTGACTTCTCCTAGATGGAAAGGTAATCAGGATTCCAAACTCCCAGGCTACAGAAATATGCTAATATTTCATTTGTAAACACCACCAACAAATTGACTCTGTCATTAAGCCTTAATGATTTTTGGATAGCTGGAGTTTATCTTCAGGAAAACACTGAGACTTCATTCCTTTAATGAATGTTTTTTTCCTGACCCAGCAATACTTAAAGTCTACTTAATTGCTTTGTGTTGACATCAGATTCAGCTCCTTGGGTTCTTCCCTGAAATAGACCCTCACAGAGGCTGTTCCCAGGCTACTTGGCCATAGTGCATTATTTTTTCCTTAATTCATGAATTGAAAAGTTTGAAACCTTGTACTTTCCTTTTGTTTCTCTTTTGTTTATTTTCACTCTTGAGGATTTTGTATATTATTAATCTGATAATTGTTTCAGGTTTCCTGAGTGATTTTTAAGTTAAAGTCACCATTTGTGATAAAAGCTGGAGAGTTGCAACCCACAGGACCTTGAATATATATCTTCTATATAAATGTGTCTGCTTTTCAGTATGGTTCTAGGATATTTTAAGCATAATAAAATTTGGGTATGCATCATTAAATAATGAATGGACATATGTGAATACAATGTAATATATCCATGCAATGGAATATTATAAGCAATGCAAAGAAATGAAGTGGTAAGACACACTATAAAATGTGTGAACTTTTAAAATGTTGTGCCAAGCTGAAGTAGCAATTCAGAAAAGATCACATATTGCATTATTCCACTTACAGGAAATGTCCAGAATAGGCAAATCCTTAGAGACAGAAAGTAGATTAGTGGATGCATAAGGCTGGGATGGTTAAGGGGAAATAGGGAGAGATTGTCAATGGTTATGAGATTTCTTTGAGGAGTAATTAAAATGTCTTAGAATTGGATAGTGGTAAGGTATGATTATGTGAATGTCCTAAAAATCAGTGCATTATACAATTGTGACATATGATTTACATATATATCAGTAAAGCTGCCTTATTTTTAAGCTTAGGCATGAGCATTGGATGAGTATGTTTAGGGTAATGCTAGCTGGTATAACAAATGAACCCAAACATTATAGTGGCTTTATGATAGCAATTTGCTTGATTCCTTATTCATACAATAGTTGGTGCAGGTGTTCCTCATAGGTGAGAAGCCTCTGAGACAGTCATTCAGAGATTCAGTTTCTTTTTGTATTATATCTCTAGGATTTCTGAGTTCTCCACATTCAGTGCGTCTCTGGAACCTCTGCAATCAGCTGCCAGACATAAGGAGGGAAGGGGAGAGGCATATTCATTTCTGTGCCCTCACAGCTTGGAAGAACCCCTTAGCATTTCCACTCAAGTTCCGCTGTGCTGCACAGCACATCTAAGTACAAGAAACACTTGGCAATGTAACTTAGTTGAGTGTACAAGGAGAAGAGGAACTTGTTTGGCAAATGGCTTTCCAGTCCCTGCCACATTGTCCCCATCTTTCCCACTCTCCACCATCTTCTCCACCTCCCCAATTTATTGATGTGTATCTCTACTATCTCTACTTATCTAATCTAGATGGTATACATTCTCAATATTTAATGAGGCACATATGGTAATCACCTATGAGACTAATTAGTTCTTTAAGGGGAAGGATAGTATTGTTTGCTTTATAAATAGTCCATGAGAGTTATTAACTTCTTCCTTCATTCCCTTAATCCGTTGCCTTTGTCCTCAGATACACCTTTATTTAGTAAACTTTCCTTAACGCTTCACCTTCTCAGCATGTCCACTGGCTACCCATTCCTGAGAAGTATGGTTTCCATGTGCCTGTTTGTGGTCTGTTTTTTTTTTAACTTTTATTTAGTAAATATAAATTTCCAAAGTACAGTTTATGGATTACAATGGCTCCCCCCCCCATAATTTCCCTCCCATTTCCCGCTCCCTCTCCCATTCCATTCACATCAAGATTCATTTTCAATTCTCTTTATATACAGAGTATCGATTTAGTATGTATTAAGTAAAGATTTCATCAGTTTGCACCCACACAGAACATAAAGTGTAAAATACTCTTTGTGTACTAGTTATAGCATTACTTCACATTGGACAACACATTAAGGACAGATCCCACATGCGAAGTAAGTACACAGTGACTCCTGTTGTTGACTTAACAATTTGACACTCTTGTTTATGGCGTCTGTAATCTCCCTAGGCTCTAGTCATGAGTTGCCAAGGCTATGGAGCCTTTTGAGTTCGCCAACTTCGATCTTATTCCGACAGGGTCATAGTCAAAGTGGAAGTTCTCTCCTCCCTTCAGAGAAAGGTAACTCCTTCTTTGATGGCCCCATTCTTTCTACTGAGATCTCACTCGCAGATATCTTTCATTTAGGTCTTCTTTTTTTTTTCCCCAGGGTGTCTTGGCTTTCTATGCCTAAAATACTCTCATAGGCTCTTCAGGCATATCCGAATGCCTTGAGGGCTGATTCTGAGCCAGAGTGCTATTTAGGACATCTACCATTCTATGAGTCTGCTGTGTATCCCACTTCCCATGTTGGATCGTTCTCTCCCTTTTTTATTCTATCAGTTAGTATTAGCAGACACTAGTCTTGTTTGTGTGATCCCTTGTGGTCTGTTTTTAACTCATAGCAAAGTGTTGAAAATCAAGACAGTGTAGTCTGTTTTTATGCATGTTTGAGGCAAGAATGATAACAGCCCTTGCTCAGAAAATATGTTTAGAGATTATCTCCCTCTGATCTTTTGGGGCGTGAAAATATTGTTTTCTTTCATGACACCATGAACAAGTTGATTATTTTTAAGTTTCTTTTGATTCCAAAATAGATTTAACCTTACACTTTGTCAAAATGTGGACAAGTATGTACTTTGAGACCATACAGCTTTTGAAGAAGATATCTTCTGAGAGAAAAGAGTTCATAGCTTTCACACACAGAATCCTTGGAAGGTACACCATTTCCCCAGTCCTGATCACAAGATGTATAGATTTGTCTTGTTGCTTAGAAAACTGTGTCTTTATCTGGTTTCTGAGGATAAGAGCGGAGGGGCTTCCAGGAATTTAGGAAGTATTTCAAAAATAGAGGGTAGGGAGCTTATGTTAGGTCATGTATGAATTTCCCATAACACTGTGATGAAAGAACAGCTTACGGTTGTAACTACAAGTTCATGAAAAAAATGCTTATTATAAATAAAACTATGCATGTATTTCAAATTTTTGTACAAAAACAAAGTTATCTTTTAGATGCATTTTTTCATGAACCTTTAGAAATATCCATTATATAAGACCTCATTCATTTTACCAACTTTTCACTGTTATCTTTACTTTCTACATTTAGATCCAACTTAACTCTTATATTTACTTGTGAATGCACTCCAAAATCCAACTCAGACTCACATTTACTTGTAGATATATTCCCAAATCCCTTCCATTTGCTGTTGTTTTAGAGATGAGACATTTAAAAATAGCAGTCAACAAAACATCAGAATTCAACCTACGTATCTCTAACACAAATTTAAATTTAGTAAACATATATCCCTTATTCTATTAAATCCATACATATTCCCATATTGTATATGGTTCAATGGGGGTTCTTCACTCAAGCCATGCCAGCTTATTGGGAATCAGTTTTCAACAACAGAAAAATCAAAAGGTGAGCCAGTATCATTTCCATTGTCTTTTCTAACACTGTAAATACTAAATTAATAATGCCTAGGATGTATGTACTCCATGGCAATCTCTTATCAAGGACTTTATTTCCTATTATTAGAATCTGACACGTGTGTGTGTGTGTGTGTGTGTGTGTGTGTTAGAGAGAGAGAGAGCGAGCGCTAGCTCACGAAGAAGCTACCTGACTTTTGTGTGTCTTGGAAATACTAGTTAAGACAGTTTGGCTTAGTAATCAGTGCCTTATGCCCCAAGGAATCTGGACTTCACACTGGTTTGGTCACTGTGTTAGGAGCAATATGCAACTTGTTTACCTTTCAGGTCCTTTCTTCCTTTGAACAGATAGGCACTAGAGCTGGGAGTGAAGGTACAGAGACCCAAAGTGACCCAATATTTAATTACGTATATTGCAACAGGAGGCCAACAAATAAGAATTCACCACAACAGTGTAATCATAGGACTTGGAATGGGTCCTTCTGGAATCATAGAGATAAATCTTGTCTTACAGCTATTAAGGAGGAAAATGCTCTATATTAACATTAGCATTTTTTCTTGAAAAGGAGGTACTAAAGTGGTATTAATTTGTAATCACCAAATATGAGGAAGAATGGGAATATCTTCTTATTCTGGATGAATTTAAATAATTGTAACCAAGCAGTTTCCCGTTGTTGAACCTGCATAGTCAATTGCTTGATAATGTGGGATTAGGAGCATGGGTTTCTGGGTTCAAGATCCGACTCAGCCACTTAGAAGTTGTGAAAGTGTGCAGGTTATGTACCTGTAACAAGCCTCAGCATCTCCAGCTATATGATGGTGATGATACTATATGGTTGTAATAAGGGTTTAAGAGGTCATGAACTCCATACACATGGTGAGCACTTAAGAAATTGATGACTCTCTTTATAATGACACCAATTTTAACACATATCCCATGATCTCCTGGGCCAGTCTCTTATCTTTCTACCATTTTCACTGCAAAAGTCATGTGTGTAAATTTTCTGTAAACATTTGCATTGTTCCTTCTTTTCTTCTCTTTCCTCTCCTCGTCTCTATTCTGGTCCCTCCTCTCTGGGGAGGCAGGAATGCGTTGTGGCCATATGTCAAACTGTTCTTGAAAGAATATGACTTCAGATTAACTGTATGTCATCTGAAGTTTTGGATCTAGAAATTATTCTTCAGTGACTGTACACTAGGAGTATTATCTAATTTTCACTCTCGCCTCCTCCCCAGGGGGGCTGCATCGTCAGCTGGGTTGAGCCTCCTACATAGGGTCAAACTTTAACAATCAGAGCTGAAGAGACTCAGGATTTTCTAGTTTTGATTTTGTAATTTTGAAAGGACATCTGCCAGAGTTGGGACATACTTTTGTGTCTTGAATAACTATCTGTTATATATTAGCAGGGTAGCTTTTCCCCAAGTAGAGCTCAAGTTGGTAGTAAGATCATCCTCTTCCCCTCTCTGCTAACTACATGTGTTGCCCATTTTTCAATGTCCACTGGAAATATTAATTACTCCAGTCTGTTTTGGTCTTTCTTACAGACGCCTTTTCCCTCTCAGTTCACATCATGTGCTTATAGCAGAGACTTGTACCTTTGAGCCTCCTTGATTAATCTAGGGAAGTATCCAGGGCTTCCTAATGTAAAAGAATCCCTTGGGAAAATGCTTGCTTTTCATAGACTGATTCAGAACAATTTCTTTTAATCTACTTGTACCTTGGTTTCATAACCATCCTCTGATTTTATCTCAATCTAGCCCTAATACTTAAACTAATTCTTTATATCCCTATTGGCTTCTGCTTCTGACCACACTTGGGGCTGGTCACAAGTGAATTATATACAAGAGAAAGGCCTTGGGGCTATTATAACTTCATTTATTTGTCTTAAAGTGATGTGTATTTATCTTATTTCTGTCCCATAAGCCATATTGCAGGCACATATTTTTCTATGTAAAATCAGGCTTTGAACATAGCAGGTTCTCAGGTGATTAATAATGTGAATTTGATGTGCTTAGCAATCTGGAAAAGTGCTAACAATCCAGTCTTCTGTGTGTGTAGATTTGTGTGCATACTGCACACACAGAAAGAAAAGGAGGACCAGGAAAGACATCATGGTAGCAGGCTCAATCCTAGGTTACATTAGAAATTTTCCTTTATTTATGTCATTGGCATCTTCCCTTTCTGTATGAAGTCAGGTTTCTAGACTACATGATCAACTTTAACTTCAAAGTTGGTTTTTGTGAATCTGTCACTTTTTAACAAGTATTCTAACAGAACTATCACATTGTCGCTTAAAAATTACTGCATCTTCCTAAAGATGTTATTTCTTGCAGCCACATTTCTATTTTAATCTTCCTCCATTAATTGATGTGCATTCCTGTTGTCCACAGTACTGAGCACTCTTGGAGAATAGAGGATATTCCATATCATTAACAACAGTTCTCCCACAGTAGTTCTCTGGCCAACCACCTGAGGATCACAAGGAGCTCCTGTACCTCGGCCCATCCCTGGAGGGTCTGAATCAGGGTGTCTGGGGCAGGTCAGGCACTGAAAACCTGTGTCTTATAAAGCTTCCCATGTGATGCTACTGAGCAACTGACATAGGAACCTCTGGCTCTTGCCCTTGAGGAACTGATAAGCTGTTCTGAAAGGTCATACATGGGAAAAATAACTCATAAGCTTTAACTATGTTATGAAATACCTTGCACACTTCAAGTACTTTACCATTTGTGAAGCATTTCATAAAGTGCTCTCATCAGTCTCTTCCCTCCCATGAGGTAGGTTAAGGCAGTTGTTTTTGCTCTACATATTTTGTTAAATGAAGTAAAGACATTTACCAACTAATTTAGAAACCCAAAGTCCTGAATGAGTTCAACTACAAATAGTGTATATATGTGTATATATATAGAGAGATATATCTATTTCTTAATTAGAATGGAATTCTCTTCCTAATCATTTCTAGCACCAGTGCCTGACTCATAGTAGGTATTCAAAAATTTTTCAGTTGATAGATGACTATACACTGCTTGTGTGAAGCAAAACAAAATATTGAAATACTTAATTTTTAGTTTCACCTACAGAATGTGTAACTATGAACATATCATAAGCCACAATAGCAAATAACATCTGTTAAAAATTAGCTATTATAGTTAATAATCAGCTATTATTATATTTCCATGTTAACATGATATTAAAACAAAGAGAACAGATTCTATATAGTTCATAGAAACAATTCCAAGAATATAATGATGTCCCCTTCCCCCTTCCCTCCTTCTTTCTTGTCCTTTCTCCCTTCTTCCTCCCTTTCTTTCACCTTTCCCTCTCCCTCCCTCCCTCCCTCCCTTCCTCCTTCCCTCCCTCCCTCCCTCCCTCCCTCCTTCCTTCCCTTCCTTTTCCTTCCTTCCTTCTCTTTTGAGATAACATATTTTAGTTTACCTTATAATCAAAGGCTTAGGGCTCCACTAAATAGTTAATCAAATAAAAGGCCATAGTTGGGGCCAGTGCTATGGCACAGCAGGTTAAAGCACCGTCCTCCAGCACTGGCATTCCATATGGGTGCCGGTTTTAGTCCTGGCTGCTCTACTTCCCATTTGACTCCCTGCTAATGGCCTGGGAAGGCAGCAGAGGATGGCCCCAGTCCTTGGGCCCCTGCACCCACATGGGAGACCCAGAGGAAGCTCCTGGCTCCTGGCTTCAGATTGGCTCAGCTCTGGCCATTGAAGCCATTTGGGGAGTGGACCAGTGGATGGAAGACCTCTCTTTCTTTGTGTCTCTACTGCTCTCCCTAAATCTATATTTCAAATAAATAAAATAAATCTTTTTAGAAAAAAAGACCCTAGTTTAGTGGGAATATAAACAAGGACTGTACCCAATCATCAAATGAAAAGATGCTCATTTTACTATTATACAGTCAATATTAAAATAATTATAAATCATTAAAACTATAATAGCATATTCTTAACCATTGGTTTGAAAAAGATAAACAATAAAGTTTTACAAAACTATATTTGCACCAATGCTGATACACAGACATTTCTTTCTTTTTTTGCTTTTTTTTCTTTTTTAATTTTAGCTCCCATATATAAGGGAGAGCATGCAGTTTTTGTCTTTCTGTTCCCAGCTTTTTTCACTCAACGTGATTTCTTCCAGTTGCATTCATTTTGCTGCACATGGTAGAATTTCTTTCATTTTTATAGTTGAATAACATCACACATTTTCTTTATCCATTGGTGTGAGGGTGGACACTGGTTAATTCCAAATTTTGGCTATTGTAAGCAATGTGCTATAAACACGCAGGCGCAGTGCAGGCATCTCTTTGATACAGCGTGTTCATGCTGTTGGGCATATACCCAGTAGGGGGGTTGCTGGATCACATAACAAGTCTACCAGGTTTTTAAGAACTTTCCATACTGCTTCCCACTGTGGCTGCACTAATTTACATCTCCAACAACAGCATATAAGAATCCCCCTTTCTTCACATCCTTGCTGTCTATATAGGAACATATCATCTGCCCACAGGAGTAATTTGACATCCTTCTTCCCTATTTTGGTGTCTTCTGTTTCTTTATCTCTCCTAATTGCCCTAAGACTTCCAGACTATGTTAAATAACAGCAGTAAGAGTGGATATCCTTGTCTGGCTCCAGATCTTAGAGGAAAAAATTCAACTTTCCCCCATTCAATACAATTTGGACATGGGTTTGTAATTCATTGTGGTTATTATGTTGCACTCTGTTCCTTCTCTATCTATTTTTCAAAGTTTTTAAAATCATGAATGAATGTTGAATTTAGTCAAATTATTTTTCTGAATCTATTCAGATGATCACATGATTTTCATACTTCATTCTGGTGATGTGATATATTATATTTATTGATTTGCATGCATTGGACTATCCTTAGGATAAGTCCCACTTGATCATGAAGAATGGTCTTTTCTTGTACTGTTAGATTTGCTTTCCCAGTAGTTTGTTGAGAATTTTTGGATCTCAGGATTTTTGTATCAATTGGATATTGGTCTATAGTTTTCATTTTTTTATAATGATTTTGTCTGGTTTTGGAATGGAAGGAATTCTGTCAGCATCATGAAATAAGTTTGGATAGTTTCCTCACTTTTGACTTTTTGGACTAGTTTGAGAAGAATTGGTGCTAGTCTTTTTTAAAAGTTTGGTAGAATTCAGTGGTGAAATCATTTTGACCTGGGATTTTTTTTTAAAATACTGACTCAAAGATTACTCATTCATCTTTTCAGGTTTTCTATGTTTCCCTGGCTCAAATTTGTGAGTTATATATATTCAAAAAGTTATCCCATTCTTTTAAATTTTCCAATTTTTTAGCATGTAGTTGTTCATAACAATCCCTAATGATCCTTTGTAATACTTTGGTACCAGTTGTAGTGTCTTATATTTTCATTTATGATTTTATTTATTTAAGTCTTCTCTTTTTTTATAAGTCTATCTAAGGTTTTTGAAATTTTGAAGATGTAAAATCTTTCATGAGTTTGCTTGTTATCATTGTGCAGGGGTCATGCTAATTTTCTCCGCATCATTCCGATCATAGTATATGTACCGACAAAGCATGGCCAACATGAATTTTTATATAAGTAATTCATGAATTGAGGTCCATATATTCTTTTAAATATTTTTAAAAGATTTTTATTTATTTATTTGACAGGTAGAGTTACAGACAGTGAAAGAGAGAGAGACAGAGAGAAAGGTCTTCCTTCCATTGGTTCACTCCCCAAAAGACCACTATGGCTGGAGCTATGCTGATCCAAAGCTAGGAGCCAGGTGCTTCTTCCTGGTCTCCCATGTGGGTGCAGGGGCCCAAACACTTGGGCCATCCTCCACTGCCTTTCCAGGCCACAGCAGAGAGCTAGACTGGAAGAGGAGTAGCCGGGGCTAGAACCCGGTGCCCATATGGGATGGGGGTACCACAGGCAGAGGATTAACCTAGTGTACCATGGCACTGGCCCCAAGGTCCATATATTCTACTAAGATTAAAAACTTTGCCTGCCTTGTCCACAGCTCATTCTAAGACACATTATGGGGCTGGCGCCACGGCTCAATGGGCTAATCCTCCACCTGCAGCGCTGGCACACCGGGTTCTAGTCCCGGTTGGGGCACCGGATTATGTCCCGGTTGCCCCTCTTTCAGGCCAGCTCTCTGCTGTGGCCAGGGAGTGCAGTGGAGGATGGCCCAGGTGCTTGGGCCCTGCACCCCATGGGAGACCAGGAAAAGCACCTGGCTCCTGGCTCCTGCCATTGGATCAGCGCGGTGCGCCGGCCGCAGCGCGCCGGCCGCGGCGGCCATTGGAGGGTGAACCAACGGCAAAGGAAGACCTTTCTCTCTGTCTCTCTCTCTCACTGTCCACTCTGCCTGTCAAAAAAAAAAAAAAAAAGAAGACCGAAGACTTTACAAAATTTACTTGAAAAAATGATAAAAAGACACAGGACATTAATTATAATTTGCTTCATGAAGCATCAGTTGCTTGCATATCATCTGATAGTCCACAGAAACTCACAGAGACAACAGCTCTAGTTGCATATAAATGGGGAACTTACAAAGATGAAACAGGATGTGGTGAGCATTGTGTACCTTGTAGAGTTGCATAACTGTCCAGGATCAGTGTCATATTAGACACAAAAGTCAGAACCAACTACTTTGTCATCAGGAAAATTATCCTGAAAGAGAGAGAGAGGGAGGGAAGGAGGGTGGGAGGAGAGCAACACTGACCTTTAGCTCACAAAGGAAGATGATGGATTCTAAATCTCTCACCTCACAGAATGGAGAAGTAAGTACCTACCTAGTGGCAGCAACAAGCTCACAATCCAAGTCTTCCACAGTCTAATCAATGCTCTTTCCATCCTGCCATGCTCCTAGGGCTGGTAAAAGAAGCCAAAGGTTATCTGGAAATAAGGAGGAAGACCATCTTGATTTTTTTTTTACAAATAAAAATGCATGAATTTTATTTTATTTTTTTAACTTTTATTTAGTAAATATAAATTTCCAAAGTACAGCTTTTGGATTACAATGGCTTCCCCCCCCCATAACTTCCCTCCCACCCGCACTCCTGCCCAACTCCCGCTCCCTCTCCCATTCCATTCACATCAAGATTCATTTTCAATTCTCTTTATATACAGAAGATCAATTTAGTATATATTAAGTAAAGGTTTCATCAGTTTGCACCCACACAGAACATAAAGTGTAAAATACTGTTTGAGTACTAGTTATAGCGTTAATTCACATTGGACAACACATTAAGGACAGAGATCTTACATGAGGAGTAAGTACACAGTGACTCCTATTGTTGACTTAACAATTTGACACTCTTGTTTATGGCATCTGTAATCTCCCTAGGCTCTAGTCATGAGTTGCCAAGGCTATGGAAGCCTTTTGAGTTCGTCGACTTTGATCTTATTCCGACAGGGTCATAGTCAAAGTGGAAGTTCTCGCCTCCCTTCAGAGAAAGGTACCTCCTTCTTTGATGGCCCCTCTCTTTCCACTGGGATCTCACTTGCAGAGATCTTTCATTTAGGTCCTCGGTGTTTTTTTTTTGTGTTTATTAATTTCGCTATGCTCCAGAGTGTCTTGCCTAAAATACTCTTATGGACTCTTCAGCCAGATCCAAATGCCTTAAGGGCTGATTCTGAGTCAGAGTGCTATTTAGGACATCTGCCATTCTATGAGTCTGCTGTGTATCCCACTTCCCATGTTGGATTGTTCTCTCCCTTTTTTATTCTATCAGTTAGTATTAGCAGACACTAGTCTTGTTTGTGTGATCCCTTTGATTCTTAGACCTATCATTATGATCAATTGTGAACTGAAATTGATCATTTGGGATAGTGAGATGGCATTGGCACATGCAACCTTGATGAGATTGTATTGGAATCCCCTGGCACATTTCTGGTCTTGCCCCAAATGGTGGAGTTAGACCATCTTGATTTTAAGAAGGCTCAGAAGTTCCAAGTGAGAATGAGTAGACTACAATTGTAATGAGGTAAATAACAGAAATCATCACTTCTTGCACACTGTTGCCTTGGAAAATGGATGGCTTGCTCTGTGGAATTTTTTCTCAAGGGAGGTGGTCAGATGAACTGGTGAATAAAGATAGCAGGAGGCCGGCGCCGCAGCTCACTAGGCTAATCCTCCACCTAGCGGCGCCGGCACACCGGGTTCTAGTCCCGGTTGGGGCGCCAGATTCTGTCCTGGTTGCCCCTCTTCCAGGCCAGCTCTCTGCTGTGGCCAGGGAGTGCAGTGGAGGATGGCCCAGGTGCTTGGGCCCTGCACCCCATGGGAGACCAGGAAAAGCACCTGGCTCCTGGCTCCTGCCATTGGATCAGCGCGGTGCGCCGGCCGCAGCACGCCGGCCGCAGCACGCCGGCCGCGGCGGCCATTGGAGGGTGAACCAACGGCAAAAGAAGACCTTTCTCTCTGTCTTTCTCTCTCACTGTCCACTCTGCCTGTCAAAAAAATAAAATAAAATAAAATAAAAAAATAAAGATAGCAGGAGCACCGCACCACTCAGCATCCCTTTCAGAGATGTTTTGTTTGAAAACGGGTCAGGTCTCGGGCTTACAAATATGAATGAGGAACCATTGTTCTGGTGATCTGGGGAAAGGCATTTAGCTCTAAGTCTCTGATAAAGTAAAGGGAAAACACACTTCACAGGCTGGACACAATTTCTTCTTTTTTCTTTCTTTTTGGTAAAATATTTGGCCAATTGATGTCAGTAGAAAAGTAGTTAACTCTTTGTACTCACAGATGTAGGAAGAAATTAGAGTCATCTGTGCATGAATTGAGCTAAAAAGATGATCAACCTTCAATAGTATAACATTTTGTTCATGTAAAATAACCACAGAATCTCATTCTTAAATCTTTAGGTCTCTGTTTACTGTAAGATTGGCAATTGGTTGTGATGATGAAAGAAAACAGTAGAACCTACACATACATGTTGCTTTAAAGCAGACCCAATTTAAATTTAGATTTGAGCAAAATATTGTAGCAGAGTGATTTTATTTCACACGTATTTATAATATTTCAAGAATCTGATGTGTTTGCACTTAATTGATTCAAGAACTTTTGAATGACATAAAATTATATATCAAAGAGAAGGTAAGATAATTATACCTATTAGAACTCAAATATATATGGTACTTCAAAAGGTTCATAGAAATAGAGAAATGGAATTAAAACATAAGTTTGCTTTGGTGCAAAAATAATTTAAAATCCATATATATATTAGTGATCTTCAGAAAGTTCATGGAAATGCATATTATGAAGAAACTATGCAAGAATTTCAAAAGACTTTCATACCAAAATGATTTATCATCTTTTAATTTGATGTTTCCATGAACTTTTTGAATTGTCCTCATGCAATTTATAAATTCACATTAACCCCATTCTACTGAATGTTGGAGAGTGGGCTCCCAAAATACCAATAATTGCACTGAATTCCCTAGTTTCTTTTTGTGCACTTTCAAGTTTGTCAACTATTGGGATTGACTATTTGCTTAGAGGCTGTGTTTCACCTTTGAAAAAATTGATGATACTAATTTCTGTGTTCATAAGTAAACATGTACATTACTCAGATCCTAATTTAAAGCATTAAGCAGAACTCTGTGAACTCAGATACTCGTTCATTATGTGAACTAAAGCAGAAGCCCTTATGCTGCCTCAGTGCAGCCTTAGTTACATCTTTGGCTAAGGCTTCCTATTTCCCATCTTCTCCTTCCTATTGTCCATTTTTTTTGGTAACTTTCTTCTGCATATTACACTGTCACATGGTTTTTCATTTTTCACCCAACTGGAATCTGTCTCCTACTGAGTATTAGCACTGTTAAAGGAGGAAAATTGTTTGTCTTTGCTTTCAAACCTCATGATACAGTACATAAGTACTCAATAAATTTTTGTTGGGTGGCTTTAACTTTGGTTAATGAGGACTGATATTTGGAAGGAAAGTTGATTTAAACATTTAACTTGGGTAGACTTTTTGCCAAACTGGAGTTCTACCCCCTAGAGGGAACAAAGTGATGCCGAGAAATGCATTTGAGATAAATTAGTAAGTAGAACTTCTAGAGTCCTGCTTTGTTGCTTTTTTTTTTTTTTTTTTAAGATTTATTTACTTATTTGAAAGGCAGAGTGACAGAGAGGGAGGGAAGGAGGGAGAAAGAGAGATCCTACATTGCTAGCTCACTATCTAAATGGCTGCATTGACTGGGGCTGGGTCAGGCCGATGCCAGTAGTCAAGAATTTTATCCAGGATTCACATGTCGGTGGCAGAGACTCAGGTACTTGGGCCATCATCTGCTGTTTTCCCAGGCACATTAGCAAGAAGCTGAAAGAGAAGCAGAGCAGCCAGGACTTGATCAGTGTTCCTATATGGGACAGAGGCATTGCAACAGGCGGATTAATCTGCTGTGCTGCTGTGGTACTTCGCCACTCTTACTTGACTTCAGCATGGTTCCAGAGACTTGTCAGAATGAATGAAATCAGTGTATGTTTCCAAATAGACAATAAGCTTCTTGAATTTATAAACTGGATCTCAATAATATTCATATCTCTAATACCTAGTATTTGGTGGTGGTGCTAAGAAGAAAAAAGTTTGAGTTAAGCTAAACTCAAGTAAATATTAGGCATAGCCCTTAAAGATAATAAATGCTTATCAGATGCGGTTTGGATCTTCCCAGAACACAGAGAAATTCATTTACGGTCCTTAAGGAGAAGCAAATCTCTGAATCCCTGAGTTTAAAGAGACTTCTGAGGTCATCAATCCCTTCTCCTAAGAGTACAACCATCTTTTCTGTGGCCCCTGTTAACTTCCTCCAGCCCTTGTTGTTCAACCAGGCTGTTAAATTCCTCCAGCTCCAAGAAGCTCAGTAACACCAAAGGCAAACATGTTCAGCTCCAAATGCCCAGAACACATTTCTCATGAACCAAAATCACTCAAGCCAGTATAGTAGTTTGTGAATTCCTATCCCCAGTTTTTTTTATTATTATTATTTTGGGGGTGTGGTGATTGGTAAGAATTTCCATTTTGGTTTATACCTGGAAATATCAGAAATGTTATAGACATTTTAACAGATTACAGTAATACTTTTAATTAATAGAGAATAGCATGAAGATAGTAATATGTATATAAATTGGGCAAAACCTCTGTCACCTTGCAGCCAAATTTCTGTGCGTGTGTGTGTTCTATGGGAAGTCCTTCCTTAATGTCGACACCAGTGTTGTGGTGCCCTGAGTCTGCCTTACTTCGTGCTTTTCTCAAATGTTTCACATCAGAATAAACTGATGGCTAGGCTTGCCGCCATCCCCCGTTCCCTCAACAAGGAGAACAAGCATTGTCAGTCCCCGCCGGGAAGCCTTCCCTGAGCTGCGTACCCACTGCACCTGTGCTTTCTGCCATCCTCTGCAGTTCTTGCCCTCTGGCTTTGATTCATGCTCTGTGCGTTCACCTTGGTCACAGGACAGTTTTTTTAACTTCCCCAGAGGCCTTTCTTTGTCAGTCTTTTCATGCATACCCTTTCCTATGCTGCTTCCTGCATTCTTGGCTGTGATTTTGTTTGTTTTGTTGCCTTTGACTGGCCACCTTGATCTTTCTTTCTTTTTTTTTTTTTTTTTTTTTTATTTTGGACAGGCAGAGTGGACAGTGAGAGAGAGAGAGACAGAGAGAAAGGTCTTCCTTTGCCGTTGGTTCACCCTCCAATGGCCGCCGCGGCCGGCGCACTGCGGGCGCACCGCGCTGATCTGATGGCAGGAGCCAGGTACTTATCCTGGTCTCCCATGGGGTGCAGGGCCCAAGTATTTGGGCCATCCTCCACTGCACTCCCGGGCCAGAGCAGAGAGCTGGCCTGGAAGAGGGGCAACCAGGACAGAATCTGGCGCCCCGACCGGGACTAGAACCCAGTGTGCTGGCGCCGCAAGGTGGAGGATTAACCTAGTGAGCCACGGCGCCGGCCTGATCTTTGTTTATTTGGAGTTTAACTCTGCATGCCTGAGACTTTGATACACTGTCTTTATATGTCCTTAGGTGTAACAGCTTTTAGGCCTTCCTTCATGGAGTGTGAGAATTTTGCTGTTTTGAAGTGACTGTCAGAGTGTTTCCTCTTCATGGTCTAGGACATCAGGTTATGTGAACTTGCATCTGTAGCTTTAAAAAGCCATTGAGAAAGCAGGATGACTCCTTAAGCCCTTCTCTTATGGGCTATTTCCATAAACTACCTTTGGAGGGTTCTGCAGGTATGCAGTGAATACCTAGTTCCATGCCTGTAGAGTATATGTTAGAGAAATTTCAAGCCTCATGATGTTTCCGGGAGCTCAGCCGGAAGAACTTGCTGATTTTGTATCTCGCTGTTCCATCAGTTGCTGAGAGAGAGGTGTTAAGGTCTCCAACTCTGCGTCACTTTCTTCTTTCCGTTCTGAAAGTTTTTGCTTCACGTATTTTGCAGCCCTGTTGTGTGGTGCATACATATTTAGGATTGCTCATATCCCTTTTATCACTATACAGTTTCATTCTATGCCTCTAATATTTCTCTTGTTCTGACATCTGCTCTGTATGACCCTAATATAGTCATTCTTGCTTTTCTTTGCCTAATGTTGGTAATAATTTCTCCTTCCTTCTGTTGTCAAACTATTTCGTCACATTTATATTTGAGGTAAGCTTCTTACTGACAGCAAACAAATGGGTCATGGTTTAATTAGTCCACTTAGTTAATCTTTCTTTTTGCTCAGATATTTGGACATTTATATTTAATGAAACCACTAATGTCTGTTAGGGCTTAAACCAGGTTTGTTTAATCTTCTTTAATTTCATTTTTGCATTCTTTTTCTTTCCTGCTTGAAGGTTATTTGAACATTTTTTCAGAATTCTATAATGTTTCTAAGTGTATTTCTTTTTACAACTTATCTAGCGGTTGCTCTAGATATTACAATATTATTTTACCAGTTTGAGTGAAGTATAGAAAGTTAACTTCACATTATACCCTCTAATGTTGCACAATTTAGTAATTATTTTAAATATTTTCTCTATATGCTTTTCAAATCACATAAATGTTATGGTTTTGTGCTTCAACTATAAAAATAATTATAAAATTTAAAAGAATGTGGAAATCCTATCATATTTATCCATTTTTGCTTACTGTGCTTTTTTTCCCTTCCTTCCTGATGTTCCAAGTTTCCTTCTTTTATCATCCCCTTCTATTTAGCAAATTTCTTGTACAGTAGGCCTGCTAGAGATAAATTCTCAGTTTCTTTTCATCAGGGAATGCCTTGATTTTTCTTTATCTTTGAAGGATATTTTTAACCAGGTTTGGGATTCTGGGTTAGCAAAGGCTTCATGTTGTTTATATGGTTTTGGCACTTACCACAGGCACCCACGGTGTTTGATAAGAAGTCCACTGTCATTAGAATTGTTTGTCCTCTTGGAAGTCCAATTAGGATTTGTATCATTGTGGATTTCTTCAGGTTTATCCTATTTAGTGCTTACTCAGCTCTTGAATCTGTAGGTCTATGTCTTGTCAAATTTTGGAAATTTAAAGCCCCATTTCTTTCTTGCCTTCTTTCTCCTCTCCTTTTGACATTCCAATGACGTGAATGATAACTCTTTTGTGATAGTCCCACACACCCTTAAAGCTAGGTTCCTGTCTTTTCCTGAGTCTATTCTCTCTGCTTGGTAATTTCTGCTGTTCTACCTTCCAGTTCACTGTTTCTGAACTCACGCAACTGAGGTTCTTGTTTCAGTTGTTATATTTTTCACATGGGATAAAAGAACTTTCTAATCCAACCCCTGCCTTGTTTATGCCACTTCCTCTAGGCCTGTTAGTGTTTTAGAAGCCTCTGTCCACAGCAGACTAGAATTAGCCTCATTGCTTCATCCTGGAGTAGTTGGGTTTCTAGACCCCAGTGCTTTTGTAGGTGTTCCAAAATATTCCTGATTCCAGTTAACGTTTCCTTAAATTCCAGGAACTGATCTTTCTGATAAGAATCATCCTATGTAGTTAATCATATTGCCCCATGTAAAATAAGCCCCTTCTTTATTGCTTGATCCTGTTTATCATCTCCAAAAACATGTGAATATGTAAATAATATGGAGGCTATGGAGGGGAACGGGGGAGAAGGAAAGAAAGAACTCTTCTGAAAACTTAGCAATTATACACTCCCAAGTCTTCTTGCAGTAAAGGCTTTTTTTTTTTTTTTTTTAACCAAGAAGCCTTGTTTTACTTACCTGGAAACCCTATTATTCACTTATTTAAAATTTTTGTTTCCTTTTCATTTAACAAGGTCATCACAACAACAACAAAAATATTGGAGTATTATTTCATCTAAATTGTAATACTATTAACCTTGAGCTCACAAGTGAAATATGCTAAAGTATTTATGGCAGTGTCATGGTTTATTTGTTACTGAGATCCTTTTTGCAGTAACTCCAATAATTAAATCTCCAAAAGGGCTTAGGAAGCTGCCTTGGAGATCATCTTTTATTATCACTATCTAAAAAAAAAAAAATGGAAGCACTGTATACATATATTTTTCCCTTTAAAACATTAGAGTTTGTAACGAAAAGGGGAGCAGAACAGAGAGGAGACAGTATACAAACTTATAGCCAAAATGAATTTATTCAAGAAGAAAAGTAAGTTCGCAGAGGTGGCCCAGTGCCAGCATACACACAGACCGAACACGTGGCAGTGGGCACAGCCTTTCCAGCAGCCTCAGTCTTATATACCTTAGGGTGAGCTACGGGTCTGGAGAGGAGGGCAGTGGGGGGAGCCGAGCTAGTTTGTACAACTTTTCGGTGGGCTTTCAAACTTGGAAAAGAATGCAGATTGTGGGATGAGGAAGAATACAGAGCATGGGACTGAACTGGTCTCTGGAAAGTAGACAGAGGTAGAGGAGTAAAGGGAATCTCTTCTGCTTTCAGACAAGGACCTAAAATGCCTGAGGATCGTATCCTTGCTCCATCAGAATTTCTTAATGAAATAATGTCCAAGTACTGTTGCTATATCACAAGTTGTACCCAAAAGACATGAGCACATTATATCAAACAGATACCTGTACAACCGTGTTTACAGTAGCGATATTCACAGCAGCCAAAATATGGAATCAACCAAGGTGTTCATCAGATGTATGGATAAAGAAAACAGGATAAGATAAAGAAATGGTATAAAAAATGGATAAAGATGTAAGGATAAAGAAAAATATATATATATATTTGTATAAACATTCACATATATAGTGGAATATTATTCAGCTATAAAAAAGAATGAAATTCTGTCATTTGCAACAGAATGGCTGCAACTGGAGGACACCATGTTAAGTGAAACAAGCCAGATACACAAATACCTTACAATCTCCTTTATATCTGGGAGCTAAAATTAAAAATAAAATAAAATAAAATGGGTCTGGCTCACAGTAGAGCCTTTGGGAAGGCACCTGTACTTCTCCTTCAGCATCTCCACCTGAAACATGAAAATATCTGAACCTCCTCTGCTTCATTGAAGAACAGTAGAGCAATGGGGCTTCCCTGCTCTATGAAGGACAGATGCACGAATATGAAAGATTTGTCAATGTTTGAGACCAAATGCTCAAAGGCAAAGATGTATTCAGTTGAATAAAATATGATGATTTAATCTTAACAACAAAAGAAAAGAAATAACAATTAATTGGAGAGGTATAATTTTTCACCCTCTCCTTCCTGTATTTTACATGTTACTCTAGTTCTGTGATTTAGAAAGCTCTGAGTACAGTTAACAGTGCAATTAACCCTCACAATGCACCATTCACATTCTTTATTCTTAATGCTCTTTTGATCTCACAATGTTTTAGTCTGAACCTTGCAGACTGTTAGCAATATTCTCAACTGAATTATTTTCTTAGAAGGAGTCAAAAGTTTACTATCATTATAAAGTCTAAGTTTTTAAACAAGGAGGGCATATTGCCTCCTTGATTCTATATCTTTAATAATAAAATTTGGTAGACATGCAATAAGAAAAGAAAAACATATTCTACTTAACATAAGAAATAGAACTCTTACCTTATTATTTTTCTTATTTTTTCTCCAGCAATAATACACCAACCTGCTTTCATCAATATTAAATGGTATCTTAATTTACATTTTTCATCTGAATACCTCACCATTGATTTTTTTTTTCACATAGATGTCTGATCTACGTGACAACTTTTTTTCAGAGGGTTTGAGATAAAGGAGAGGGTGTTGTTCAGGGATTTCTCATGACTGGAAGGAAATGCAGTGAATTTATTTAATCTTTGCTGAAGAGGCTCAAATCTGCCTATTTTAGACTTTGTTTACTTAAATCACTTGGGCACAAAAATTTCCTCTGCCCTTAACCCCAATTTCAAACTTGTTTTCTGGATGATAAACAACATAAATTCCCTAAAGACTACACTAGCAGGGCTAGAGCCCTTAAAGCAGATTCAAACGGTTGGCTTTTCTAGCCATAAATCTCACAAAAAATGGGGTTTCCCAGAGGATTGAGCTTGTGAAGGGGTTGGTCCTTCTCCAACATCTGGCTTTCAAAGGGTGCCTGTGGGGAAAACCCAAAATCCCAAGAAAAACACCTTCCAGATGCCACACCTCTTTGTGTCTAAGGCTTCCAGCCCCTGAAGGCTCATCAAATGAGGATGATTCACAAAATTCTCCTAAACCATTATTTGTAAATAACAACTTTTTAAATGAACCATTTTTAGATGTTTTAGCCATATTAAAACTCTCCATGACAATAAAAACAAATTCACCACTACTTCTGAATATTAAAATGGTACTGGATTAAGTAGCATTTGGCCTGGCTTACATTTCATTTCTTCTATAAAAATATTGCCCTATGTTTTATAATCTTTGTAGGTAGTGGCACATAGTTTGTCACATGATAGAGAGCTGTGTATTCTCTTTGTTTCCTATACGTCTGTGTTGCCTCCCTCTTGAGATTTTAAATTTCCTAGGGTCATGGATAGAATATGACCTTGAGGGATCCAAGGCACTGAGAGAATTTTGGCATACCCTACCACCACTACGTGTAATTCAAAATGAAAATCATGTTATTCAGGAAAATGAGGGTAAGACACTCTAGCAAATTTTTAGGTTTTCCACACTTGGTTTGGAAAATATCATTCTTTAAAATGTTTTCTTGAGAATATGTAGAATGCTCATCATTGTGATTTCATTGATATTATAATTTATTTCCCCAGTGGTTTGAAAGATAATGTGTTAAATTCCAGATCTGATATTGTAGTTTGGGATTACTTTTTGTTCTTTGTGTCTTTATTATTGTTACTCTCTGATGTTCCTAACTTCTGGTCACAGAAGATGATGTTTGGTATGTCTGCTTTTTAAAAAGTTTAGATGGGGATTTGTGGACCAATAAACAAAACATAAATAAATAAAAATAAATGAAATGTTTTCAGCATTTTGGATGACCCTAGCAAATTCATAGATGGGTTAGAAGGCAATCCTGATGTTTTGAAGATTAAAATGAACATCATTCTTATTATGTTCTCTCAGGAAAAACTGGAATTCACCACATCTGTTTGATTATTCATGCCCTGGAGTAAATATAAAATTGGAGGACATATTAGGAAATAATTCTCATCAGAATTACTAGTTTTCTAAGTGTTGGAGCTGGATACCCAGACTTCCTAAAATGAGGAATACACTCTATATCTGCAGCAGAGGGCAGTGGCCCACTTACTCTCCTTTTCAAACTGCTCTAATAAGTAATCCACTTCAACCAACACTTCTATATTAGTGACTGACACAAAATTTGCTAAATATTTTTAGGGATCATGGAAACATTTTGTATCATTTGTATCCCTTAGAGAACTTGAAACCTCTATTGCTTTTTCTCTAAAGCTAGGCATTGACCTGAGGGTCCCTGGGCCTTTGCTCTGTCTCACAGCTTTTTTCCATGTTCTGGATTCAGTACTAAAGTCCTGAAGCATCTTATAAAGCCATTTTCCCAAAAACACCAGATCCCTCCTTACAAGGAATCTTGATAACAATTGCTTACAATAAAATCTTCTCAGATAAGGGGTACTTTGTTTAGGCTAAGAAAATGATTCTTAGCCTCCACATAAACTTGTTAGAATGATCATATCTAGATGATGGACACGGATTCTCTCTGATCCCAATCTTGATAAAGTGCCTTCTTTTGTCTGTTCTGATCACTATTTTTAATAGATTATTTTTATAGAAATTTTAAGTACACAGCAAAATTGAGCAGAAATAATGGAGATTTTCTAAATAACTCTACTCCCACCCCCGAATACACACACACACACACACACACACACAAACACAAAACCTTCCCCATTATCAAATTCCTATACCAGAGTGGTACATTTGATGTAACAGATGAACCCTACACTGACATTTCATCTTCTCCCAGAGTCTGTAGTTTCCATTAAGGTACACTCTGGGTGTTGTGCATTCTCTAGGTTTTGACAAATACAAAATTTGACGGGCATCTACAATTAAAGAATTATATAGAACAGATTTCCTGCCCTAAAAATCTGTGCTCTGCCTCTTCATACCTCCCAGTCCCCTCATCTCTGGAAAACACTGATGTTTATACTGTTTCCATAGTTGTGCCTTTTCTAGAATGTCTTGTAGTTAGAATCTCACAGTATGTAGACTGGTTAGCTTGGCTTTTTCATTTAGTAATGTGCACTTAAGTTTGTTCCATCTTTTCATAGCTTGATGACTCATTTCATTGTAATGCTAATAATATTCCATTGTTTGAATGGACCTACTGAAAAACATCATGGCTGCTTCCAAATTTGGGCACTTCTGAATAAAACTGCAGGTTTTGTAGGACACAGTTTTCAACTCGTTTGAGTAAATACTAAGGAGTATAATTACTGGATCCTATGATAAATGATTATGTTTAGGCTTGTAAGAAATTGCTGAATGTCTTTCAAAGCAGCTATACCATTGTGAATTTCCACAAGCAGTGAGTGAGAGATCCTGCTGCCTCCCAATTCTGCTCACTTTTCACATGAGTTGGAGGAGTTAACTGGCTCACTAATTGCAAAATATGGCTGTTTAGGTACATGGCTCCCTTCTAGTCATTCAGGAAAATGAAATACTGGTATGACCTACATGAAACAAAGAATTGAACTTCTTGGGTCAAAAATAGACTCAACTGAGGCTCAATTCTTTTCCTCATTTTTATGAAACTGTGCTAAGTTTAAAAAAAACTCTTGTATGATTTTGGTTTCTTCTTTTCCTAAATAACACTAAGAGACAGCAACATATTTTAAAGAATATTTACCTAATAATTTATGTTAAAAAGAAAAAAAATTATTCTAATAAGCATTGCAACTTCTTTAATGAGTAACATTATAAGAGATGGAATACAGAATCTTATTCATGGGATTGTTATCCGGTGCAGCCATTTAGGTGCTGGTTAGAACACCTGCATTTTAAAGTGCTAAGATTTGAGTCCTGGCTCCACTTCCTATTCCAGCTTCCTATTTTTGCACACTCTGGAAGGCAGCAGATGCTGGTCCAGGTATTTGGGTCCCTAGTACTCACGCAGGAGACCCAAACTGAGTCCTGGGCTCCAGGCTTCAGCATGGTCTAATTCCAGCTCACTGCAAGCATTTGAGGAGTGAATCAGCACATGGGAAAACTCTCTCTCTCTTCAAATAAAATGAAAATAAATAAAAATTTTTGCCAACATTTTTCTTCATGGTTGCTTAATAACAAGTGCTTTTCTTTTTTCACACCTTAAAGTTATAAGGTACAATGTGCATATAAATTTAGAAATTTAAAAATACTTTTACAGCTATCAAATCTAGAAGTGAGAATGAAGATTAGTCATGACTTGATCTAGTAGGAATAAGCAACTATGTCAAAGAACAAAGTAGGAACTTTTTTTGCTTAAATGTAAAATCTGTACCTAACTAAAACTCCTTGCTTAGTTAGTCCTCTGAATTATTTATTGTACTCCCTTATAGATCTGTTTGGGAAAGTTGTTCCAATTTATTAGACCAATTATTATTAAAATGAGCATACCATCTCACCCTGTAGATGGGTTTAAAAAACCAGCAATTTTTGTAAAACTCTTATGATTTGTGATGAGGCTTGTGTTGTGGTTTGTTAGTGAATTAAAAAACAGGGAGGGAGTGTGGATTAGGAAGGCTGGCTTATGACTGAGCAAAATGTCTTCAGAACACTCATTTGGGTTTCTGTCACACTGGGGCAGCCAGGATGGCTCAGTTTCCCCAATGCTTTGTTGACAATTTCAGTCTCAAGGATTAGCCCATGATAGTTCCCAAATTAATTGATTTATTGCAATAACAGAATAAGCAAAAATAAGCAGGAGTAATAAATGTAAATATAGACAAAACAACTAAAATAAAATAACTCAGCACGGAGTCTCAGGAATAACCAAATAGCAGGTGTCCATGGAGGAAATGTCCCAAGTTATCAAGGAAACACTCCCCTTCAAGGTGATGCTCAAAGACTCCAGATGTCATCAAGCCACCAGCAAGGAAGTAGAGCGATTTTCTCTCCATTGGAGCTCCTGGCAGCCGATGTCTTTGCAGAGTGAATTCTTGCAGGGAGCGGAGCCACAGTGAGATGTGTCTCAAATGACAGTTGGAAGGCAAAGAGTATTTATTGCCGCAGAAGGGAGAGTACATTATCTCAGTTTCCAGACGTCAACCTTGGAGACGAAAGTCTCGGACTCAAGCTATCTCATTTGCATATGGGCGTACCATTTCCATGTGACTGTCAGTCAGACAGGTTGAAATAACAGGCCTCCTTGCTATCAGCCAGTCGTTGTCAGGGCGGACATCTGTCAGCTGGTACGAGGGAACAGGCCTCCTTGCTGACAGCCTGCCTTGGGTAAGTTACCGCTTATGTGAAAGGACAAAGTTCAAAATGGAATTAGTGTTGTCGAAGCATAGTTGTATCAATTATAATTAAAATACCAATTCACTTAGATCCACAGGAATTGTAATACAGCAAAACACACCATAACCACTTCCTTTTCTCCGGTATCTAATGCTTAATCTGCACATCCAGGCGTTTAGTGTTGCCGGGGTCCTGAGATGAGTGGGCTCTGAAAGTACGGGAATCATGCGGTCCCTACTCACCAGAGACTCGTCTGTAAAGCATAACTCCAGTTTGTTCACTTACACTAAGAAAGAAGAGGTCAACAGGAAACAGGCAGTGGAAACTGACATCAAAGGCTTCTCTATCCTAGGTTAGGAACCATCTTCATTGGACTGTGTGAGAGTTAATGAGATAATGAATGTAAAATGTATTGGCACCTGCTTATCACTTATTCACACTCAAGGAAACAGGAAAGGAAAACTTTAACTCCTTTGGTCAGGCACTCTCTTTCTCTCTCGCAGACTGAAATATTTCCA